CCTACACTGCCCTGTTCCATTTTTCTTAAAAAAATTATAGATGCTTGTCGACTTTCTTTTCATCTTCTGCAAAGTGACATAGCACAATGTAACTAACTAATACATTTAGCAGCACCAACATACACTTTAGCTAATATCATTAATTCAACACTGTAAAAACGTTACTAACAGGGCTCAAAAATGAACTTTTTTATTTAACTTTAATGTTAATGTAATGTTAGCACTTGTGCTTCAATGTCAAACTGTTAGAGGCACCTAAAAAATAGCGGAGATGCTAAATAAACTAGATTCTGAATGTGTGATTTCAAATTGAATAAATCACTACTCTTCATTTCAACTTTAAGAATTCTTAATAAATAGCACTCAATACCGGTAGTATCATGTTTTGTCTCGGGGTGTAGTTTCTCGTCGTCACTCAATACATAATGCATTATGCTATAAGAACTTTACACTACGCTTAAATGCTTTTCAAAAAACACGAAAATTCAGCTCAGCTGCTGCAGTTAAACATCAGCAGTTACTGTAATTTTCGCGCTGACGATGGTGACATTCACCAGAATAGCAGCATTATGGTCAAAGATAAAAACACATCTAAGTAGCTCATGCTTACATAGAAAAATAATCGAAAACGACCGTAAAATAACAGTAGAGCTGCACTATTCTGGCTAAAATGAGAATTGCAATTTTATTAAAGGTTAATATGAGTCTGCAATTATTGTTTATTTCTCAAACATATAGTAAAACAACAATAATAATATGTGCAGGTCTACTGGTTTATATAAATAATTCTCTTCCACATATGATAATTCTAATGTTCAATTATGTTTGAGATATATGCTTGCAATCATTGTGAACATTATTAGACCATTTAATTCACTGGTAAAATCAACATTATATAGGCTAGAGTAGTTATACTGACACTGTAAACATTTATTTTCATGCACAACTGTGTGTTCGCTATGAAAGAAAAAAAACATCAAATGCTTGTCGTAATCATAACTCTAAAATGTGATATGATTATTAAAATGATGTGCACTCTTTAAGTTTCATTTTCGCTGCTAAGTGTTGTTCATACTTCACGTGTGGCACCCAAACAATCACTCTGTGCCACAAACTGAATATTATTTACAACTGTATTACCTGTTACAGCACATGCAGGTTCTGTTCACTAAAGGAGACGTGCGCGCGTCTATCATTAAGTAGGGCGCGCGCCCGCATACAGCTCACGGTCAGCAGCTCACGTCACGTGTAATCTCCCGGCCGCGAATACAGCATTATATGAAGACAAAACTGACATTTTTAGGTGAATTATACCTTATAAATACAGTATGTGACTCTTTCAACATCATTTGGAGGTGTCCATGTCCCAGAGCAATGAATGTGAAAGAACGAAAAAGACTCGTGCGCCCGCCTTTTCTTCTCTCCTGAACTTGAAAATATGATTGGCAGAATCGTGAAAATGCTGGGTTATTATTGTCTAGGGGGTCGAATAAATATCTTTTTACAATTAATTGTGCACCTCTAAATAACAGCATGCAAATGAGGAGCAGTAATCAGCGAAAGCGAACGTAACGTTACCCAAAAACATTAAAAATGTAAACCAAAATGACTTCATTTCGAGCCCTGTTGATTAACACGTTTACCTCTTAGCTAGAAACGTCAACAGAGAAAATGGAATAGTGAATTACAAGTGAAGACATAAATATAATATGACATACATACCCGTTGTTGTTGCTTAAAAAATCTCTGCCGTAGCTGTCCTGTTACTAGTTGAAGGCGCGCATTTGACTGACTGTGCGGCCAACGGCTCTAACAGGAAGGGGAAAGGGCAACGAATCAGCTACGTCAGTGGCGCCAATCCAAAATCGTTTTGGTAACTGCATTTTATTTATTTATTTATTTATTTATTGTGAATTTACAAAATTACATTTAAATTAATAATATCAAAAGCAAAATTATATAGGGGTGGCCACAGGGGTGGCCAGAGATTTCACAGGGGTGGCCGTGGCCACCCCTGGCCACCCCTGGCCACCCCCTGGGGGCGCCCCTGAGGCTATGCACTATGCAGTTATATTAATGTGGGCTTATTCTTTTCTGAATTCATACCAACTAGTTTTAAGTATAGTGGAAGTTACTTTTTTTTTCTTCTCCCATTTCTGGCGCCCCCCTGGCCGTACTGCGCCCGTAGCAATTGCCTATACTGCCTATGCCACGGGTCGACCCTGCTGTGATTGATAATGTGACATTAGAATTTAACAACTCATTCTTAAAGCCAAATTGCTTAATTTGTGAACTTTTTGTACTTGGGGTTTAGTTGCACTGAAACATGATCTTATGTCTATTTTCTCTGTCATTTTATCCAATACATGAAACTGCCAGGCAAGTTTATTTATACTGTAGCACATTTTATACACAATGGTAATTCAAAGTGCTTTACATAAAGAATGCAAAACTATTATTAAAATTATCACAAAAATAATCACAAAGAATTAAAAAATGTTAACATTTTAATTTTAAATTAATTGATTCACTTAACAACAGAATAGAAATTGATTATACAAAAATACAGTGGGGTTAGTTTGGACGTAGCACAGTGCTCATTAAGCAAATACACCGCTAGACAAAATGCTTATTGTGGTCCTTAATGTAAAGTTAACATTATGCCAAGTCTTCACAAATGAAACAACCCATGGGAAACGGCTTTAGCTTAAGTAGCTAATACTTAATTATACCTAATACTTAATAACTAAGTAACTAATACAGCAGATTTACGCCTGTTCTTCTAATATGATTTTGCTATTTAGAGTTTGCAAATAACACTTTTTATGAAATTATGTTATTAAGGGGAAAGTCAGAATGTGCGAATATAAAACCAACTTTACTTCTATAAAAACATGGGAGAAATGTATCAATAATTCATGATGACTGCAACAGTAAGTGGAAAAAAATGTAAAGAAAAAAACTTTTGCTAAATTATGTTCCTGCTTTTGGAAATATTATTTTTACCCTTTATACAACGTAGTACTATTTTATTCTCAGTAACCGAGGGTTATTGTTTGAATAAAGTAACAGAAAAGTGTGTAATAAGTGTTTTAATGAAACGTTTTACTCAATTTCTTTTTGTTAATTAAAAGCTGCGCACAAATTTGCCCCAGCCTATGTCAGTGAAGTGAACTTATTAGACTTTATTTAGCTTGTAGACGGTTAAGATCACCAGTTGATGACCAGTTTTTGTCTGTCCCTCGGTCTCACTGCAAATCAAAAGGTGATAGAGCTTTCTGTGATAGAGGTAAAGTTGGTTTTATATTCACACATTTGTTCATTTAGAAGTCTCTATATTGTTTACCATGTTACTTTGACTATTAGATTGGAATGAGCATGCAAGTGTGGCTTGAAAACAACATTAACACTGTTTATTTGATTGTGAACAATGTTGTACTTTGATAGTCATTTGCTGCTAATATGATTTTACTATTTGGAGTTTGCAAATAATACTTTTATAAAAAAATAATATTATTAAGGGGAAAGTCAGAATGTGCGATTATAAAACCAACTTTACCTCTATGGCTCTGGAACAGTCTCCCTCTGAACATCGGGATTGCTACATCATTGGATGCTTTTAAATCTAACTTAAAGACTTATTTTTACTCTCTTTCCTTTGAGTGACAAATGCATGTTATTTTTTATTTTTTTTTTTAGTTTTATTGTGTAGTTTATTCTATTGTAAAGTACTTTGGATCAACCACGGTTGTGTAAAATTGTGCTCTGTAAATAAAGTTTGCCCTGCCTAGACTGGCAAAAAAGCTAAACAAAAGACTTTTATTTTGGCGTGACGTGACGTCATCAGGCGGCGCCGCTACAGCGCGGTGATTCAACTGGAGAAAGGTTTGCTTTAAAAGTTTTACAGATATAACCCGATTTAAAGTTAAAATTCTAAAGTTTCAGGGTTTTTATACGATGCTAAATTATGTTAATGCTGTTGGAAATATTATTTTAACCCTTTATACAACGTAGTACTATTTTATTCTCAGTAATCGAGGGCTATTGTTTGACTAAAGTAACAGAAAAGTGTGTAATAAGTGTTTTAATGATACGTTTTACCTGATTTATTTTTTGTTAATTACTCTAATTAAAATAAACTGTTGAAGCAAGTGTTGAAGAGAAGTTATTTTATTTCTGTTCATTGTTTTATAAATTTTAAACAGGACATTTTTATTGTTTTGTTCATTTTAAACAGGATAAAGTGTCCAAACACAGAGAAAAACTCCTGCTGAAGCGACTGATCTCATATATATATATATATATATATATATATATATATATATATATATATATATATATATATATATATATATATATATATATAATTTTTTTTTATGTTTTTGTTTTGGCCCACCCTAAAGTTCCAAGCTAGAGCTGGGCCTACTCCAAAGGTAAGTGTCAAAAACGCTAAACAAAAAAAGACTTTTATTTTGGCTTGGCGTGTGACGTCATAAGGCTGCGTCGCTCCCACACTGTTATTTGACAGGAGAAAGGTTTGTTTTAAAGCGTTTACACAAATATAAAGCGATTGATTAAAGTTTCAGTTTTTCATTCAGTGCTTAATTTTGTACCTGCTGTTGACAATATTATTTTAACCCTTTATACAACGTAATACTATTTTACTCCCAGTGGTGGGGGCTATTGTTTGAACAACAGAAAAGTGTTTTAATGAAGGTTCGATTTAATATATAACATAATGTCATTCCATTCTAAGTATACATCACTATATATAAGAAAAATACTTACGTTACTAGTTTTAATCAGGTCATTCTTGGTTTTTTGTTCATTGTTTTATTCATTTTAAAACGAACATTTTTATTGTTTTGTTCATTTTAAACAGGATAAAGTGTCCAAACACAGAGAAAAACTCCTGCTGAAGCGACTGATCTCCACACTGTTATTAAGATGGCGTTTATTAAAGAGGAGAGTGAAGATGTGAAGATTGAAGAAACATTCACAGTCAAACAGGAAGATCTGCAGGAACAAACAGGTTGGTTTACATTCTCAAAGACCTACTCAGTCATTTGATCCTCATTCAGATATATTTTAATAACAAGAATAAATTAAACCTTGCAGCCCTGAGTGTGCTGCCTAGTTCTCCTAAATGCACATAAGCACTCATTGAAAGACAGGAATCAGTTTCTTTCTTGTTACTTGTTCTTGGTGTTTTGTCGCTATTTTATGTATTATTAGTCTCCCATTTCTCTACTTCTTAAGGTTATTGCTTTTCTCGTTCTTCTACTGTTTGTAAATCGTTTCTGAGCAAAGGCGCAATATAAAAAAAGTTTAACTGAGCTGATGATATTTGACCGCCAGTATTCTCATAGAAGATATCTGCTATTACAGTGATAGTGTTGGCTTAGTACTTTCCATTTGCATATGTCACGATCATAATTCCGACTTCTTTATGGCTTTAAACTTGTTTTTAGTAGTTGTTACTAGTTCTCACAGATAGTATCTAGAATTAAATCATTATTTTAATAACTAATTACCAGCGCTATTGTGTTTAAACAGGGCTTCTGCGGAGTCTCAAAATGTCTTGAATTCCAAAATCCAAATTCCAGGCCTTAAAAAGTCTTAAATTTACTGAATTATTTTGTTGTAGGTCTTAAATCTTTTATAGACAAGTCTTCATTTTCCTTTGTTCATGTTTTGTTACCCAATCTGGTCAAAACCCATACAATCACCAACAATCCATCTCCATAAAACTTTCAACTTTTTATTCAAAAAGGTCATTTTAACTCTATTTATCATAATGGTTTAATTATTTTCCTTACAATAACATTTAAACGTGCTCCATGTATTCACTGCTGAGGACATCGACCTGGACAGATTATTGTGCATAAATTTATTTTATTATAGTTTTTAAAACTTTAAAAGCATTTGTTAATTGGTTTTTTATTTTAAATAAAGTTTATGTTGGAAAAAAAAGTGTGTGGATACAAATAAATCTTGCTTATTTTTACACAATAATTAAGATCTTTTGCTAAGAAATATCTAAAATATTTAAATTTTCTATCTGGGCCATCTGAAAAATTCTTTGGCCTTTAGCCCTTTATGAGTCTAAAATTTCATTCATATTGAAATTGTACTTAAAAGTCCTAAATTTAACTTGGTGACACCTGCAGAAACCCTGGTTTAAAGTATGTCAGAAAACGTGGATGCCCCCAATTTGAAATATGCTAAATGAAATGGACACTAAAATAATTAATGATTATAAAACATTGTCCAGTATTCTAAACTATATGATGTTGTTGTGGGACAACGTGAGACAAAATGAACAAATTATAGTGGAACAATAACGTTTAGCATTGCACTGACTACAACTGGCCAACAAACTAGTCTAAATGACTTTTGCTGCGTAAGAAATGGATTACAGCATGCTGATGATATGCAAACATTCAAGGTGTGACGTTCGTCAGTATTGACCACATTCTTCACGTACCAGCAGGCGCGTCATTGGAATCTTTTTGCTTGAGATTTTTTTAAAGGATGAATTTTTAGATCCTAAAAACAGAAGCTGTTTCTCAATATGCGTTCTTCACCCAGGTGAAAAAAATAGAATTAAATGCAATTAAAATACACTTAAATACCCGCAAATACATTTTTAGTACATTGTTATTTTTTGTGTTAAATAAAAGTTTGATGGTTTTACACTATAAATATACTAATTAAAAGTATGTTTATACTTCAGTAGGACTTTAGTACACTTGACAAAAGTATACCAAATACCAGAAATACTTAAATAAATTTTTAGTGTTCTACAATAACACTACAGAAAAAACATCCAAAACAGTTTCATTAGTGTGTTTTTTAAAAATGTGCTTTAAGTGCTTTAAACATTAGTTGATTTTTAGTACACTGTTTACATTCTAATCCTAAGTTTAAAATAAGTTAATATATAAAAATATATATTAGTAATGTATTGCAGTAGAAGAACATTTTCCCAAAAATAGTACTTAAGTGCACTTAATGTGAATGCAATATTATCACTAACACTTAAATAGATTTTGAGTGTGGTAATTTTAAGTTTACATTAAATTGACTTTATTAAAAATCTATTAGTAATGTATTGTAGTAGAAGTACATTTTCCTAAAAAAATTCTATACAAAATGTAGCATTTTAACCAATAGTACAGCTACACAAAGCCTATTGCTTTACCGCATGTTTGAGAATAACAATAATAATAGCCCATGCACTCATAACTTTTATTTTACATCTGCAGAATCGTGAGAAAAACGTGATCTTTATTTTAGGCAAAAAAAAATAATGATTCTCATTTTAGCCACAGCATATAATTAGAATAATTGTCTTCTCCTCCAGTTCAGCTATAAACACTGGAATATTCCCATCAGGCTCCAGTAAAGAGTTTATTGAAGGACAGCAAAAACATGAGTGATCCAAAACCCTGCAAAATTAAAAATGAAGACTCTGAACAACAAATAGGTTGGTGTTTATTCCTGATCAGGGGTGGCACTGGAGGTTGTTGGGCTTCAGCCCTGATTGTTTGTTCCAAAGTGGGTTTAAGTTTTGTCAAAACGTAGTTTTTCAACATATTATTCAGAAATATTTTAACCGGTTCATTATTGCTTTCCCACAGGATCAAAAAGCGATATCAGCTGTGCTTTCTAAACCTCTTTATTTTATTTAAGAGTTTTTTGTTTTTATCAGAGGCAGCCCCACAGCAGTAAGTGCTTTCTGTCTCTCTTTTCTGAAAGCGAGTTTACACACACCATCATCCTGCATAGCCACGCCTCCTGACATTCACTCAATGCATTCGTCTCATCGCTGCACCACAATTGTACTTCATGTTTGTTACCTGCTTTAATTTCGTATTAAAGTAAGCTTGTTGGAAATTCTGAGGAGAATGTTGGGTTGCTATTGTAACTACACACGCAAGAGAGTCAGGCACTCTTGTCTTGCTTCATTTAAGATTTACCTCAGATTTTGGCTGTCAGTTCCGTATGATCTGACGAGATGCTACACGCACAGGCTGTTCTGATTAGCTGTGAGTTTTGATTTGTTCATTCAGGAGTATTTATGTGAAAGTGAAGTCTGACAACAATAAATATTCTCATCAGGAATAAAACCACCTGTTTTTATACCCGTGCTTACTCTGCAGAGCTGTCGCTATAAAGTTAGGTCTGCTACTGTTATTTTATACTGGGTAGGCTACTTCATTTATTTTATTATAACATAATTTGCTAAAAATTATGCCTTAAATGAGCAGGATTTTGAGGGTAATTTAATCTAAATGATTACAGCCACAACTATAAAAAAACATAACTTGTAATAAAATGGGCAGGGATTAGATGCTTAGAATCCAATACTTGTTATATAATTAAAATTTTGATTTCTCTTGTCTAATTTCTGCATGCACATTTTCCACTTGCTACTCTGCCAGAAACTTTGCCGCTGGAGAGCACCTTCAGTAATAATTTAAACATTTGTTTAGAGATGGACAAGATGTGCTCAACAGAGTGGCTACATGTGGTGAAAAACGATGACAAAGCTAAGTGTAAATATTGTAATAAAAGTAATAAGTTATAAAGCAGAGTGTCGCGACCAACATGACAAAGCATCTGAGGTTTTTTCACATACTTAAAGAATTTCAAATTTAAAAAATGGCTTGTTAGGTTCATTGTGCTTCCCGCGGGTGCAACTAACAACAATTGTACATTTTAGTTGAACTCTTTGAGCGTGATGAGCAGTTCAGTGTTAGTTTTTATTTCAATATCTGGAGGTGAAACTAAACTGCGCATTCTCTCCATCTCCTCATTCATAAACAGCAGGACGCTCTGCTGAAGCATGCAAGCTTTACACTCCGTCATTGATAATTAACTTAGCTGTTGTATTGGAGTCGAAAGAATATATGAAGTAGAATGTTTTAACAGTCCAGATGTTTAATCTTTTCTTTTTGCAAAATTTTTGTCATTTCGCTTCTGCAAATTAGATTTTTTTTAAACTGCTTGATTCTTTAAAAACCAAAAGCAGCGTCCGTCAATTGGTGTTTTTCCAAAAGATACACCTTTGTGAATGTGTTATTTTGTGTATAGTCTTTAATGTGCTTTTTTATCATTTTATTGAGACGCAAATAGGGATAATCAATAGGGATGTCCCGATACAACATTTTAACTTCTGATACAATACCGATATTGCAGCCTTCAGTACGAACCAATGCAAATCCGATATCAGCACAAATCAAGAATACTTTTCTTTTACCTATTTCATTGAGTGGAATTAATGAACAGCTAGATCAAACTGAGAACAAAAGTCAGCAACAGTAAGTATGGAAATAACCAATTTATTAACTATTGGTTGTATAAATGTGAGCCTTTTACATAAGAATATATATATAAAATAGTTAAAGAATACATATTAAGACCCTGAAAATATCTTAATTGAATAAACAAAATATATTTTTTTAAAGTGCAAAATACTAGTTAAAGGTCACTTCAGTTACTATTTTTTTACCATCAGTAAATGGTAGAAACAGCTGAGAGCACGAACATAAGAAGAAAAAAAAACATTGTTATTTGAACAGCTGCTAAAGGCTGAGTGTCTAAAGTTTCAATTTTACACACAGCTTCATGATGAATTTTTGATCCAGTTTCGAGCAAAAAAAAAAATTTGTTTATACAGGGGAGCAGATATAAGTTTTTGGAAGGTAATAAAAATGTGCAGTATGGTTAGTACAAACATTTACATGATCAGATCTATTTATTCTGTGTTTGTATCATAGGAAGATTGTGGCTGTATCAATGTACCCAAACAAAACATTATTAATTTTATAATAATATATAAATTGCACATATTATTTTTAACATAAATATAATTGCAGTGGCTTGATTGTGGCTGTTCTTCACAGCACATACAATAATGTGACTTTTAAGAATAATTTTATTTTTCAAAATTCAATTTATTTGCATAATATATTGCACAGATTCCACCCAACTGCCCACATGAGAAAAGTATGACAATGTAAATAA